GAGATGTGTTCACAGGAGTTCTTCAGTGTATAATGTTTACTATGTGTAAGCTGTTTCCATAAGGAAGGATGCTGCAATCATCCTTTTCTGGAGTATGTCCAGCATGTCTAGCCTATCTCAAACTTCTGAGCTGTTGACAGGATAGGCATACTGAATTCACAGCAAAAAAAGGGAACACAAGATAGAAAAAAAGACTTTGAGCTTTAGTATTTTTCAGTCTTCTGCTCTAGTCAAAACTATTCAATACCATGAGTCTGGCACTTCCAGACAGAGATTATGAGCAGTAATTTTGGGGCACTGGATAACTTGCAGCAATTTTTAAATGATTCAAGTTAGGCGAGATTAAATGCAGTGGATGCAAACATTTTGAGAAGATAATTAGGGTGCTTCTAGATTCAGTAATGGTGGTAATGGGATAAAATTTTTGTGAGGAAAAGCTGTTTTGAGAACTTCAGTGAAGTATTGCTGAAGTTGCAATAATTCTTAATGATTCACATAAAATTAATTCTCATTGATTAACATAAGTCTCAAGCTATTTGAAATGATATTTTGAATTCGAGTGTAATGTAAATAAAGTGTCATTTGTAACAAAATAAATGAATTAGACTATAAAAGGAGATGTTTAAGGATAGCATCTTGTATCTCTCTCTCTCTCTCTTTTTTTTTTTTTTTTTTTTACTGTTATCTTTTATTGGGCACCATGTTTGACTTTGCCAGAGAGTACTCTGAACACTTATTAACAATAACTAATATTAGAGCTAATATTTGGTTTTCTGTTTATGTGTGCGTGTGACTGTCAGAGACAATATTAGTGTGATTGGTCATTCAGACAAAAGAGAAGAATGAAATGTCAAATAATTGAAACATCAGATAATCAATCTTAATATAATTTCATGGTCTGCACTTTCTTTTGCCTATTTTATTTTTTATTACAGCTTTGGTATATATTTTATATTTTATATATTTCTTGAGTTGCATCTTTTTGGCTATTCATTGTAAGTTTAGGAGCTAAGATATCCTTTGTCATGCTTAATTAATCTAGATAAATGTCCGGTATAAAACTGATGTTTTTTAATAGCTATTACTAGAGTAGATGATCTCGTATTTTGTGCCATCAATTTGTATCTATTTTCTATTCTTCATTCTTCAAAACCATCTAGTTCTTGCCTTTATCTCATGCATCCTCAGAATATATGTGTTTTTTCTATCACATTGGTAAGGCTAACATACAGAATCAATACTGCAGCTCACAGGCTACCAAAACTGTTCATGATATCCTTTGTGAAATCAATAATTTTCTGTGGAATTTTAATGGCAGAAATGAATTTACTCATAACAATGTCAGAAGTGGTACATCATATATCTGTGCATAGATTTACATACTTCTATGTTTTAATCTAATAACTTGGGTTTTTTTTGTTTTGTTTTGTTTTGTTTTGTCATACGTATGCAAATATTGTTTCTCTATAAACCAGTGTTACTTGAATCCCTACATATAGAATGCTAATCAAATTGTAAACCTCAATATTATTAAAACACATTCTAAGTCACAATTAATCCGTCTGGGCATATATAAAACTGCCATTTCTTGAGTCATGTATGTTTTTGCCTATTGTTACAACCTATCTGCCATGGGTAAAGTGTTTCACACTTATCTAAGTAATTTGTCTGTACATATATTGTATCCTATCTATAGCTTACTGTTCTTTGGACTCTGTATGAGACATAGGGCTGATTTAGACATATATATGAAGATTATTATTTTTTTTTTAAGAGTAAAGCTACTGTTACAAAATGCATCAACTTTTTCAAAATATTTACCTATTTTATTTTACTTCATAAATTTCTGGTGGAGAAATCTTTGTAAGTAGCTACTGACATTCTTCGTATAATTTCTTCTATGTTTGTTTATATTCTGGATCAAGGATAAATATATCCTTTGCCAACATAATCACATAATCTCCTTCACCTTCTGCTCCTAAGAGAGCATACATTATATCTGACTTTAAACATAAAATTCACACTCTCTTGTCAAAAATATTTTATTCTCATCTGACAGGTTACTCCCTTACTCCCTACAGTTAAGAATGAGTGTTAACCACTTTTCCAATGTTAATTTTCAAAGCAAAGCAAGAAATGTAATGACAGTGTCTGTGAGAAGACTATAAAAAAATTATGAGAACTAAAGACTGAGGCTGTCTGGTGTGACAAGCAGGAGAGCTTCCAATGTTATAATAAAAAAACCCCTGCATCCTGATAAACAAAATGAAAATTAAAAGTAGCCATTATATTTTGGATGAACCAACAAACAAACCCTTCCTTTTCCAGTCACAGTAATAAGTATGAAACTGCAATCTGGTAGCAAGTGATTTTGGTTTTTTCTTACCATCAAACAGATGAACATTATTTATTAAAGTATGCATAAATTTCATTTCCTTTAAATAATAAAACTAATAACACATAATTAAACCCCTATGAATGAGGACTGAAAAAAAGGAAAATTATCTTTAGTCATGTATTTTACCTGCTCTTAACCTGTGACAGAAAAACAAAAAACAACAACAACCCCCACCCCACCAAAAAAAAAAAACAAAAAAAAACCAGGAAAATTTCTCCAGAATATTTGTATAGAAGACAGTTTGTATGATCTTTATGTATGATCTTTGACCAGATAACACTTAGATAACACTTCTTTATATTTGCTCAGGCAGGTCAAGAACACAGAATATATATTTATCTTTTGTTACCACACTTTCACTCTTCACTTCAGCCCATATTGTGGCTAATCTTAGTTACTGGTGAATTTTAAACAGTAATGGAAGATTCCCCTAAGAACATAGTTTAATAGATCTCATCAAATACTCCAGATTATAACTTGTCCTTTATTAATTTCATACTAGTAATTGTTTGAATCTCTCAAATTTTTTATTTCCCATGAGTAATCAGAGACTTCTATACAACATTTCTGCAGATCTTTTTTCGGCTAAATTAAGTACAAAATATCAAATGAAATATGAAGTTACATATGATCCAATGATTCATTTCTCACAAGTGGAAAGAAATCAACAGGATTGACTTAGAATATCAGGAACCTAACAAGATGAGGCCCAGTAACAACTAAGAATATTTTCTTCAGAGATAAACTCCATTTCCCTGTCTTAGGGCTTTTTGGGTAATGATTATTTGAGAGCTATTGTAGGTCATCATTGTCTTTCATATAGAAGTCACTGGATTTGACAACAGTGTAGATTATTTACAAAAATTGTCTATTACAGTTCATTACAGTCAACAGAAGAAATCGTAATGTCAGACGAAACATGATTAGGTATTCAAAGTTACTTCCTCATCTAAACAGAGAAACTATCTGGATTGAGAAAGGATCAGACATTTTTATCCTATTTGTACTAAATACAGCATAAAAGTATGAGGAATTCTAGTAAGACCACTGTGGCCATCTGTGGATTTTTTTAGGGTAACATCTGTGTAAATCTATAAACCTAATACTAAAACTGTAGTTCCCACTATCTCCAAACAATAAGGGCACTCTCTTTCTCTTTGCTGCTTGGATCAAATAATTAATATGCACAATATTATATATTTATAAACAGAAAAAAAAAAAAAAAAACACTCAAAATTGCAACTATTTGAGAGCTGAACACAAGTATTAGAATCATCAATACAGTGGTAGGTTTAGGTTGGATATCAGGAAAAATGTCTTTATAGAAAGGGTTGTTAAGCACTGGAATAGGCTCCCTAGGGAGGTGGCTGAGTCACCCATCCCTGAATGTGTTTAAAAGCCATTTGGATGTGGTGCTCAGGGACATGATTTAGCAGAGGGTTGTTAGATTTAGGGTAGTATGGTTAGGTTGTGGTTGGACTTCATGATCTTTAAGGTCTTTTCCAACCTGAGCAAGAAGGAAAACATTGATTAAACATCTGTAAAATAAGCAGCTAATAGAAGAGAAATAAATAAAAAACAAGTGGGTCCCTTTTTCCAGACAGAACATTTTGATTACATTTTTTTATTCAATGACTCTTAGATTCAAAGCTGTTGCTGAGTAGCTGTGTACGTAAGAGCATGGAAATCGTCTGAGATATCTTTGTATTCACTGTAGACTATTTGCAAAAAACACAGTGGGAAATTAACTTTGAAGTTTTATTTGAGTCTAATAGAATGATACAGGATCATTTTCAGAAGGAACGGATCAACATTAGAACATTTTACTATCTTATCATCCAATGTTATACACAAAGTCTTATAATCATCAGCTTAGAATTTTAAAGATCCATGATAGTGTTATAGTAAAATTGATTACTTCAGATAATATTGTATTCCATAAAAAATAAAAATAATAATAATTTAAAAAAACTCTATGCTGGTATAACAGTCATATTTAAATTCTTAAAGATAAATACTTATGCTTTGATAATAATTTAAATACAGTAATATAACATGGTGAACTACAGTATTTATGTTTAATATTGATTCTAACCTGAACTAATTTCTTTTTTCTTTTTCCTATCTTATTTGCTAAAATAAGTATTGGTTTTATGTATTTCCCAATAGTTCCATTATAGAGATTAGTATGCTGGTGTTGTAACAGGTATTTATTTTTGTGTTTATAGGAAAGGAGATTTATATTAGTTTTATCATCTTACAAACAATAAATAGATTATAAAGCACTTCTGACAATTGTATTCTACTTTGTCACACAAGTGTATTTATATAATGAAGCATTATACAAATATGAATATTTAATTTTGCTTTATGAATATATTCAACTGTGAGAGCGAAAGTCTGTCAACTTTGGAAATAGTTTAAAGCTTGTGGATGACAGAATATTTACAATAACAATGGCTTATATTCCTCCATCTGTACTTGAAGACCCAGGTTTTCTGTGCACAAAATAGGGGTCTTGATATCCAAAGCAGCACAATCTTAGTTCTTTTCTTTTCTTTTCTTTTCTTCTCTTTTCTTTTCTTTTCTTTTCTTTTCTTTTCTTTTCTTTTCTTTTCCCAAATGGAGAATGCCCATCCTCTCAAATAATGATAGGCCTGGTATGATTTTTCAGAAAATCTCCACATCCAAGACTTAGGTCTTTATTTTTATGCTTGAATGTGGTATGACCTCCTTTTTAAAAACTGAGTTGATTTTGGTTGTTGAGAATTTATGGAAAAAATAAGTGATCAAACAATAACTAATCTCTAGTACTCCTTTGGGAAGCATACATGCCTGCAAGCTGTTTAAAGTGAGGTCCCCAGCCTAAAAGGTAGTCATAATTTTGATCCACATCTGACATATTTGACCCTAAGGAGCTGAGAGATCCTGCTAAAGAGCCAGTCCCCTCAAATGCGTATGTCTGAAGTGAGTCATATGGAGGAGCACTAGGGTCTGTATTGGCTTCTTCAAGCTTTTCTGAAATGAATTGCCTGAAAATAGCACTGTCAGGACCAACCTGCAGAGACTGTCTGTAGAGGCTGTGGATTTCTGTGGTGACTTTCTTTCGAGGTTTGTGTGTTCTCAAGACAGTACGTGTCCTCAGTGCTGAAATATCAAAAGCTTCTGTGTCTTCCTCACCACCTCCTTCATCATCATACCTGACAATGTTCTCTCTGAATTCTTCCACTTTCTCTGGAAAGAGAGTCTTCTTCCTCTGCTGTCTTATGCCTATAATCGCCAAAAAGAACACTGACAAGACAAACAAACAAAACAAAACAAAAAGAAAGCAAGGGAAAATATAAACAAAGCCAAAGACTTTGAATGTGCCTGGAAAGCCTTTAAAAATAATAATGTTTCTTAATATCACTGCAATTGCAAAGTGAAGCTATCTTATCAAATTTATAGAACCGTGATTTTTACAGATTTTATGGTTTTGAACTGAGTATAGTATGTGGTGGAAAAACTGCTACAGAGGGACTTATAAAAGGGGTGAATGAAATGGAGCAATTCTTTGAGTAGATGAGAGTTTGAAGCAGTGATGGAAACAGATTATGTTTTTTGAAACTGCTTTGTTTTATCACATAATATATCAATTTTATATTCAAAATTTAAAGTTTTTAATCTCTCTTCCTTTCACATCAGAGACCCAGGAAGAACAGATGAAAAATGAGGCAGTGAGCTAAATATCCCCCTCAATTGGTCAAAAATAATTCAGTTCCATAGATCATGCAGGGTGTGGCTCAATTTTTTATACAACATTGATTTAGAAATTTGAGGAGTATAACTAAATTTTGTGTAATGCTGTAGCAGCGGAGGCTTATGAATAAGAACAGTTCCAATTTTAACATATGAGAATCTTTTTTAAAAAAAAATATTTTAAAGAGGTTTTTTTAAATCTTATACCATTTCATTTTTATCTGAACAATTCAGTTTAAATATTCTATGACATACAGAGAGATTAATGTTTCCCTGCAGAGAAGGATCAGTCTGTCACTTGTGGACAACAGGTTGGCCATGAGCCATCAGTGTGCCCTTGTGGCCAAGAAGGCCAATGATATCCTGGGGTGCATTAAAAAGAATATAGCCAGTAGGTTGAGAGAGGTGATCCTTCCCCATCTGCCTTGTCCTAGTGAGGCCACATTTGAAGTGCTGTGTCCATGTTTGGGCTCCCCAATACAAGAAAGACAGGGAGCTACTGGAGAGAGTCCAGCTGAGGGTCACAGAGGTGATTTAGGGCCTGGAAGTATCTCCATTATGAGGAAAGGCTGTGAGACCTGGAGCTGTTCAGCCTGGAGAAGGAAGACTGAGAGGAGATCTTATAAACTCTTATAAATATCTAAAAGGTGGATGTCAAGTGCTTAACTGTAAATTATGACACAGGATATAACATGATATAACTGCCAATCATGACAAGGTTTTATCTCACTTGGGGATATGAGGCATCTTATTTCCCCTCATTGTTTCATGAGATCTTGAGATACTAGCATAAAACTTGGAAGCACTGGAAACAAAAACTTTTACAATGTTATATATTTTTTAAAAAACAAACAACCTTGTAGTACTCCTAGTTCTCAAAGTCCTCTGCATAGTGAACAGTTACAACAGTAAATATCATAATATCAGCTAAAGTAAAAAATGAATAAATAAGATTTAATGCTCAGCTGTAAGTTGCAAATAAATAATGTGTTCAGCCTTTTATTGTTCAATTTTGAATTGTCGTAAATATACATGAGAGGGTTTAATTCATTAATTAACTCATGGATATTAACTTCTGTCTAATTTTTTAGATCTATATTCTTACTTTAACTTCTATGATATTCATAGCCCCAGTAGACAGCAACTCTTTTCTTTAGAGAGAGGATCTGTCTGCAAGTGACTAAGATGGCCTTGACAAAGCAGTGGCAGTGACTACTTTGCATGGTCCTCAACTCTGTAAATGCATAGCACAAAGTGACCAGGTTTAGATGTCCTGCAACAATCCTTGAAATGCACTTTGGCCTATTTGTAAGCTTGCACAGACTAAAAGGTAAGTACATCAGTATAGGGAGCTGCATTTCAATTTTCAGCTCAGTCAAGTAAGGTGACTCTGGAAGTGCAGGGAAGTCTATATTATCTAGGGATAATATATTATCCCTATAATATATTCCTGTTTTCTCTGTTGGAAGGCTGGAGTGAGAAGTGGGGGATCTACTGTATTCTGGACCTCTCTGTGGAGTCAAGAATTGGCTTGTATCTGGCAAGATTTCTTCAATTTAGATATAACAATAACGAAGTACTCTTTCATTGTTTTAATAACCCTATCTACTCAAATTGTTTAGAGAGATTTTTTTTTTTAATAGAACTTTGTTTTTTCTCCATTTTCCTGCATGTCACATAATCCTAAGAGTTCGAAGACATATAAACTCCTTATTCATAACTCATAAGCGTGCTGCTGCTGTGCAATGCATGCCACTGTAGGACTATATTATGGGTACATTCTAGGAGAAATTTCAGTGAGTTCTCATGCAGAGATTCAGTTGGAAGATCAAAAGAAAAATAAGAGGAAATAATTAGATCCAATTTCTATGCCTTGTGCTAAGGTGCCATAAGCTTGTGGATAGAATGCATAATATGGGTGGGGTTCACTTGTTCAGTGTAACTTTTCAATAATCTAACACTAAAATAATTCCAATATCTGTCTGGAACTTCTTTTCTTGTGTTGATACTACAGCAAATCAAAATACAATATCAGAATAGAGTTGCCAGGCATCATTTTCAATCCTGTTTTCTTAAGCTCAGTGATAACATGTTGTATATGTTGTTAATGTTAGATTGATGAGTTAGATAAACTCATACTGTATAATGAGGGTAGACGAAAGAATGTTCTTTGCATACGTATGGAAAAAAAAAAAAAAAAGAAAAGAAAAACTGGGTTTATTTACAATTTTTTTGTATTTCTTTCACTGATACGAAAGTCTATAAATATTAACACCGTATTTGCTCTCACTAGCAAGTACATTGAGATGTTTATCTCTGAAAATTTGTTTCATAAGACAATGAGACTTCTACTCTTATTCCTTTTTTCTAGACATTCTATTTGAGCAGTCAGATAGTTTGTAGTTTGTTGCAGTTTTCCTGCTTATTTTGTTATTATATTTTTTTATATTTCTTAGAAGTTTCTGAAAAACTGGTTATGCTAGGTTTTTACAATTTAAAATGATGATTTGATACCAGTGAAATCTGTTTTTACCTTCATTTTCTGATGTTGGGTTTGTTTGTTTGTAGAATTGCACTATTGGTTGAAAAATTGTTTCCCTAAGATCTGTCAGTTATTTGGTGATATTTTTGGGTACGGTATTTCCTGTGATATTTTATTATAAAGCATAACATGGATATGCCATATTATTTCACTAGTAACAGAAGCTGAAGTTGGAGCTGGAAGTCTTTCCCTGCTGCTTTATTCTCATCAGTTTGAATGATAAAACAAACCTACCCAGTTTGATCATCTTTCTTTCTTTCCTGGCCTCAAACTACAGTATCTTAACCATAACTCAGGCATAGATTTGGGAAGAATAGTTAATCTTTGGTGAGTAATTTCTACAATGGGCCTGCTGTTATAGTATGTCAGTGTCAAGTCACTCATCAAACACTTCAGGGATATTGTCCCCTATTTCCTTCTGTTGAAAAAGAGAAAATGTAGTAGAGATCATTGTGTGCTTTCCAGGAAAAAAAAGCTGTTTCCCTGAGTAGTGTGACTCCACTGTGTCTTGCAGGGCTGAAAATGCCAGACTAGACTGTGCAGGTCTGGTTTTGTGAGTGTCATTTGCTGACTATGCATAATTGAGGCTTCACAAACACATCTCCTATTTGTTTACGGTGCTTCCTTTTCACATCCATACTTTGCAAGAGTAGCGGACGATAATTTTATGTCTCTTGAGAGGAAAAAGATGTTCAGCATCTGAATAAAATGTTATCTGAAGATGCAGTTATTACAGAATTGAAGAACAGCTGAGTTTGAAAGATTATCTCTGGAGGACAGCTAGCCCAACTCCTTCTCAAGCATGGGCCACCCAAAGCCATGTCCAGGCAGCTTCTGATAGATCTCCAAGGAGACCCCCCCAACCGCCCAACAACCTCTCTGGACAACCTTTGTTAGTGTCAGACACCTGCATAGCACATAAGTTCTCCCCAGTGTACAGGGAGAACCTCCTGTGCTCCAATTTGTGCCCATTGCCTTTTGTCCTAGCACAGTGTATCACTGAAAAGAGCCTGGCTCCATCTTCTTTACACCTTTCCTTCAATTACTTTTAACACATTGATAAGATTGCCCCTAAGTGTCCTCTTTCCTAGGCTGAACAGACTGGACACAGGAACATCCTGCTTGTTTCTAGAGATAGGCTTTCTCTGAGAGGATTTTCTTTAATTAAATTGCATTTATCTTAGCCATGTATTTGGCGTAACTAAGGAAGAATGATCATTTCTCCACCAAAGGTATCTTTTACTAACCAATCTCCTTTCATAACTCTGTGTCAGCTTTAGCTGGGCTCTGTACAGACTTTGCCTTTCCAGATGTTTATTAATGTTACTGCTGGAGAAATAAATAGAATCATGGATCAACTAAAGCCAACTTTTATAGAATTGTGTTAGGAATTAAATTTTATGGAAAACTGGAAAAAAATAGTATTACTTTAGAAAGCAGAAAGGAAACAAAAGATCCACATTATTACATTTTTTCCTCAATAAGGCAGTATTTCTATTTTTTCCCCAGTCAAGGAAATACCTTTGTCACATAATCTGAACTACTGGAGAAGAAAACATAACCATATATCTCACTTATACTTACCCAGGAGTATTAGTAGGCAAGCCAAAACAGCAACTAAAGCTTCTGTGCTGAGGCCTATGGAATACAGGAAAGCTCCATAACGACAGTATAAGGTGTTCACTTCAGTATCACAGTCACAGACAGTGACAGTGAGTGTATTTGTGCTTGTAAGTGGTGGAGATCCATTATCCAGAATTAAGATTGGCAAGAAGAAATAAAACTGCTCTTGTCTACTGAAGCCACTTACTGCTGTGAAAATTCCAGCTGTGTTATCTAGAAGATAAATTATATGTGATATACATTTCGCATTTTGCAACAATAAATATGCAGTGGAATCCAACCTATTTAAAAACAATGCTAAATATGACAGAAGTTAAGAAAGTAAGTCCAGTTATGGACATGTGTCCTTTGCTTGTGTGAAGTGTGAATAATGCATTTATTTTGTCATATATTTTCCAGTTTCACTAATAAAATGTGTTTTTAAAGCTGTGTTTTCAAAGCTAAAAAAAATCCCACAGCTCTGTCCAATTAGCTGATTCTTACAATGATGCTTTGTAAATAGTCCAGCAGTTTGCAGGTGAAATATAGAAAGTTTACCTGTGAAAGGTCTCCAAAAGTGTGCCTGACAGCACACAGAGAGAGCATGTGGAAACTGAAAGAACAGAAAGCAAAGAAGTCCACTAAAATAATCTTTTATTTCTTTCCCTAATTCAAAACTTGATCTAGCTGAGCTCTTATTATCTAAATGAAGGAAAAGCTGCTAGAGGCTCTCACTTTGCTTTGTATTTAACAATAAGCATTCAGAAATCAGTTCTGTATAAAGCCCAGTAAGCAGATTAAGTTCAGCTTCTGCTGCATATCAACGAACTTGAATCTGAAACTTAGCTTGGAAAACAAAATAACCTTAACTAAATCTGTGTAAAATGTAAAAAAGAAAAAAAGTAAAAAAAAAAAAATCTGTGTGCATACATGTAGAAAGAAAAACAAACAAACAAAAAAACTACACGTTTTTGCAATTATCTCTACAAAAATATTTATACAAGCAATCTACTGAAGTTTTCACGTTTCTAAGTCAAATTTTAGGGAGATAAAATGCTCCAGATCTGTTGATTGTCTCTTGCTTCTGACTAAACCTCTTCCTCACCTAGATACTTGCGTGAAATGCAGTAGAAAGCTAAAAATTGTGGATTGAAAATATGGTGATTGAAAAGATTTTTTTTCCTCATCAATAGCTGGATGCACTGTCTTGTGCAATGCTTTGCTTGTTTTTTGGGCAGAATGAGCAAAGGAGGGAATGCCTTACTCTTCTTATAGAATTTGACCTTTATTTAGGAAGTTATCTCCTCCTGGCACTGAGTGAGACATTAATGAAGGTGGGAGATGAAAAGCATATTAAAACATTTTATTTAACTTTGGAGATAATGAGAAAAGTAGTTTGCCATTTAACATTGTCAAAACATTCCAGAGCTTATTTCCATTGATTTAGTCACCTAGACAGTCACCTAGCCAGTTTGATGACATCAGTAATGAAGGAATGTAGATTAAACTATTAGGAAAAGAGATCACATTTCTATTTATCATAGAATCCTACAATGACTTAAGTTGGAAGGGACCTTAAAGGTCCTTATGTGTACCAGTTTACCACCCACTAAATCAGGCTGCCCAGGGCTCCATCCAGTCTGGCCTTGAAGACCTCCAGGGATGGGGCATTCACAACTTTTCTGGGCAGCCTCTCCCAGTGCCTGACCACCTTCCCCTTGTTCTATCACTATTTAAAGACTGTTTAAAAAGTCAATCTCCCTCCTATTTAAAAGGTCACCACAAGGACTCGAAGGCTGAATTGAGGTCTCCCTAGAGCTTTCTCCTCTCTTCTTGCTGAAGTGTTGAAGTAACAGATTTGTACTAACAGCAATTTCTTCCTGGCAGTCTTGTTGCATAGATAAGTAGTAATGGGATGTACCAACTTTCTTGTTAAAATTTTCTCTTAGATTAAGAGTATAAACTTAAAGGAATAACTATATTTTTCATCTAAGATTTTTTTCTTTCCTTGACATGAAATCATCTTTTGCTATTTAGCTACAATAACATTTTCATTTTAAGTGAATAATTTTCTAATTGCTAATGTGAGGAGGGTTATGTCCATGCATCTTCATTAGAGTTTTTAATGACTCTACCTTGATTATCTTTGACAGTAAAATGCGAGTTGTTTGTGGCCTCCTGAGCCAATGAGAAGTAAAATTGGTGACTTTCTTCTGAGTCATCTTTATCCACTGCGCTGATGCTCTGAATTAGCTGGAAAGAGATAAGCACAATTGTTTAATAATTAAAGCGTCTAATGCTACTTTAAAGTTGTAAAAGAGCATATCAGATATGATGTTAAACTGTTAATGCTAGAAATTAGATTTGCAAATACATATTAAGTATTAAGTACATGTACAAGTACTTGTACAAGCATATGCAAATACATATTAAGTCCATATTATGTGTTCACAAATATCCAGCTCCCATACCCAAAAAGTCAAATCAAGACTGGTATTCTGCAAATATTTTACTTTGTGTTTTTTTCCATCAGTTTGGGAGAGATGGGCATTAAAATCATCAGAAAATATAAGATTTCCCAGATCAAAAGACAAGTGGCAAATCAGATTTCCATAAATGAAAAGAAGCAGAAAAGAATCATACACTTGAATGAATTCCTCTATACAAAATATATTCCTTTGAGCCCACAAACACATTGATCTGATATATTGTAGCAGCAGTAAGGGAGATGTTTACAAATTCCTGTGCTGAATTGTTGATTTTGAATATTATAACAGACTGATTATGGAATTTCTTGGCCTATTTTTGGTCAAGAATATAAAGTTGCTGTCATTTACAAACATGTCATGATCAAATAAAATCAAAACATCTAGTGTTCAACATATTTTATTTCTTAAATAAGCAAAAACATTATATTTAATAAATTCTAAATGTTTCTGCTAATAAAAAAATGTGGTTTTTGTTGTTACTTTTTTCCTTGTTTTTTTTTTTTATTTATTTCTTTCTTTACTTTTACCAGTAAATATTTAGTTAACTGGGCATCCGCATATAGTAGTGAAAATAATCATTGATATCACTGATTATAAGGAAATCAAGCAGATGAAAAGCCAAAAAAAAACCATGTCTAATTTGTTTTATCAGTCATCTCGTGCCTTGCAGATATTTCTATCCAATAGTCTTGCACTTTCAACTTTCCCCAAATCAGAAATCACACAAATGCTACAAGCACTACTTTAAAAGTAGTAAGTCAGTGGAAGCGACGACAGCCTTCCATCTTTGCCTTTGAAGACTCCTTCCTGATTAAGATTTCTTTTAGTGAAAGAGTTAGGAATTCAATGTTTGTTTTCTTTTAAAGCAAGCTAAGTTTGAAATCCACAAAACAGTATAAAGAGTGGTGTATACCCCAGAAGCTTTGTATTCTTAATATTCTTCCTTTCTTATATGTGAAATTTAATTCAAACCTATAATTTCAAAATATTTTATTGCTAATAATGAGAGGAGTGATTACACCTGGTGACAGTGTATAAAGGCTGTAGCTTAGAGTAATGCCAATCAGAATACATTGTGTTTACACAGATTTATCATGTTTTTGCATTCTAAGAGATGTCATTGAGGATATTGCCCCAACATTAGTCACGTACCCATAGAACTCGGGTAAAGATTTTCTTTTTTTTCTTCTATGAACATTTCAACATGTAGGAAAATCACAGAATCACAGAATCGCCAGGGTTGGAAGAGACCTCAAGGATCATGAATCTCCAACCCCCCTGCCACATGCAGGGCCACCAACCTTCTCATTTAATGCTAGACCAGGCTGCCCAGGGCCCCATCTAATCTGGCCTTGAACACCTCCAGGGACAGGGCATCCACAACCTCTCTGGGCAGCCTGTTCCAGTACCTCACCACTCTCTCTGTAAAGAATTTCCCCCTGACGTACAACCCAAATCTTCCCTCCCTCAACTTAACACCATTTCCCTTCGTCCTGCAGTTATCTACCCTTTCAAAGAGTTGATTCTGCTTCTGTTTGTAGACTCCCTTTAGGTACTGAAAGGCTGCAATGAGGTCAACCTGCAGCCTTCTTTTCTCCAGGCTGAACAAGCCCAGCTCCCTCAGCCTGTCCTCATAGGGGTGGTGCTCCAGTCCCCTGATCATCTTTGTGGCCCTCCTCTGGACTCTCTCCAACAGCTCCCTGTCTTTTTTGTACTGGGGCTCCATGCTTGGACGCAGTACTCCAGATGGGGTCTCACAGGAGCAGAGTAGAGAGGAACAATCACCCCCCTGTCCCTGCTGGCCACCCCTCTTTTGATTTTACTCTAACTGATGACTAATTTATTAAATGTAAAGGAGTAAGTAAATTAATGCTTTTTTTTCTTATCTCTAACTCAAAATGCTCTGCACACATAATTAGTAACAAAAATTACTAAGTAAGCTGCAACACTGAAGTAATTTCATATGTGATCTCCAAATAATATGAACTCAGAATTGACAGAATTAATATGTATTAGAGAAGCATTAATTCAGTTTGTAGGTGCATCCAGTGCAGCTTGTCTTCAGCTGAGTTCTGTTTCCTGCATAACAGAAATGCTATGGGGTTTAACCCAATATCCACAAAACATAAGTCTATTTCGGATGCTCAGCTTGCTTACTCAAGATGCGATTTTTCTCATAGTTTACTTCTAATTTTTGTGCCACAAATTAAAAGTTAAATAACTAATGCCTTCACAATTAAGCTTTCTAGGAAATATATTTTTACTGAGATGTCTCTGGAATAGGTTTGGCTCATTTTACATCCCAATTGTTTTTATAGTTTATTGCTTTTAGAATTCAACCATTTGCAGCGATTGCAAACATCTAAGAGGAAAATAAAGGGTTCTGGTCATCCTCTGCCAAGTTTACAAGAAGTTATAAATTCAAAGAGAATTTCAATTTTTAGATATCTTACTAATATTATTATATTGATTTGACACTAGTTGTAGCAGTAGTTGGAGCTATTCTTCATAGCTACATAGGCTCAAGTTATTTTGAGACTAATATATTTAATGCTGGTAGGGCAGATAAAGTGGTTTTGTTGTTGTTGTTGTTGTTTTGTTGTTTGTTTGTTTGGTTGGTTGTTGTTGTTTTTCCTTCAGTGAAAAAAAGAAAAAAACGTGTTGTGGTCAATATATAACTGACTTATATGTTATAGGATATGACACTACTCTAACATGAAACAGATAGTGAAAATTACATTCAAAATATCTGATAAGTATGATGAGTGGATTTAGAATGTTGCCAAAATAAAACTATATTTTTTGCATTCATTTATATTGTAAAATTTCAGAAGACTCTCTCTCAGTCATAAAAAAAAAAAAAAAAAAAAAAAATCTTTTTTTTTTGAATGTTTTTCAGAGGATAAACCAAAGTTGTCTGTGACTCTTGCAAAAACTCTTTACAAAGACAGGAAGGTTCCACAGTAAGTAAAGCTTATTTGAATCTTTCAGGAAAAACAAACAAACAAACAACAACAAAAAAAAAACAAACATTTTTCTTAGTTTTTAGGTATTCTTTACTGCCTCTAGGACTGGCTATTTAGGACATTACTAATTATTTATTTTTATTCATGATTTATTATATATTCTTTATTATAGCCATGTATACTCTAGGACTACACATTATGTCACTCTTTTACTGTGTATCAGGCAGGACCCAAGAAAAAGTCATTAAAATAAATTTTAACTTTTGACACTATCTTTCTTTCTCAGTGCTTTTCTTTTCTCTTCTTGAAGCTTTGTAAGTTGGGAGATGCAAATCTATTACAACATATCCCATGAAAACAGACACAAATCATCTGAGATCTGAGATCTGAGAAATTAGAATTCTGGAGGTATCCAGAATATCTCTCAGCATATCTTTTCTACCTAAATAGAATGAGAAAATTACTTTAAAAATTGAAATGAGATAGAATATCAATAAAAGCTTTGACCTCAGCTCATATTCTGTAAGCAGGTTCCTGGAGTCTTTGTAGATGATTGCAGAAATTTGGCTAAACAAAGGCATGTAACGTACTGATTAAGCTCCTCACTTGCTTAAACTTACTCTTCTGAAGTTGTGTTATTCAGAGAACAACCACTGCAACTTACAAAATCACTTTATAACCTCTAAGCTTCTAGCTGATGAAAAGAAATAAACATTTTAATACGGGTGCAAAAAAAAAATAAAAATCAAAAGAAAAAAATAGCTGATTCTTATATGTCTCTTATATGCCTATCAGTTCAGTTTTAAGTAAACATTATGGATAATAACAGTCTCTAAGTGGTTAATTATGCACATCAGTAGCAACTTCCTGTTATTGCTCCTAAAATAATTTGCTAATGAGAAGGCAGTTTAACATTTCTCTTTGAATGGTCTCCACATGTCAAACTAAAGCCATCTGAGACTCTCACAAACTGTTATTGATGGGAAAAAAAAAAAAAAAAAAAAAAATCACTAGTGGGCTAATATACAGATGTTATTTGTTAAAAAACAACTGGAGAGTAACAAAAGCCTTGGAAGATAAACAATCTGAGCTTTTCATATTGCAGACAAGTGCAGAAACAAATTAAAAATACAAATTTTATAGGTTTCCATGTTTTATTAATTGATACTGAGTTATATAATTTCAAGCATTAACAGAGCAAGACTGTTGACTTAAGAAATCTATATTGGTTTACTCTTATATTTTTTGTCACACAATTTTTTGTCAAAAATTAAGTCTGTGTTCTATGTATTGTGAAATTTTTTAGAACTATCAGTATTATTTTGTTTCAATTAAGGGGGGAAAATACATACCAGACTTCTGAAATTGGTATTTCACACTATATACATATCAACAGAATTGATTTTGAAATTAGATAAAATGCATGCTATGCTTGCAATACTGCAGTAGTCAATATTAGAGGAAACATTAATATCTTCAGTTAAATTTTCGTAATAATGAGAAAAATGTCTGCTAACTCATTCACACTTACCTGACCTGGTACTGCATTTTCACAAACAAATGTTTCATAATACTTAGGAAATTCTGGTGCATGGTCATTTACATCAAGAACTTGGATATATACATTTGCTTCTGAAATTTTTTCAGGATTTCCTAATGATTAAAAAAGGCAGAAATTCAATGTTATGTATTAACTACTATATATTTTAAGGTAATGTAGACATTAGAAATCCTTATTACCTTTGATGGAGAAGAAAGTAGCCACTGAGACCTACAGGCACTTTATATACTAAATTGTTTTTATTTATTTTGTTCAAATTTAACCTGTAAAATGATTTAGCATGTTCTTTTGAAGTTAAATTTAATCTTAATTGCTAAAACAGAACAGAAGGTGCTGAGATTTTTCTTTTTGTTTTAATAGAGTTCTATCTATAAAAAGATGTTTTTTTGTTTTGTTTTGTTTTGTTTTGTTTTAATTATCCAATATATCATGTTAAAAACAATAACACGTATTGAAATATGTAAGGATATTCCTCATAAAAGTTCAGATTTTTCACTCTTCCATTTACTGAGTTGGAAATGGAATTAAATGTAAAAATAAAATCTGATTTGGAGAAATTAGATGAGGTTTAGTTCATGCAGAACAGTTTGCTGTACTAATAAAGGATATTGTAGTGACCGGTCACAAGCTTTTAAGAAAATGATTTACATTTTCTTGCTGCCATTATTTACATGATCCTCTTTTACCATCCTGCATTCCTGTAATGGTATTTCAAGATTTTTACCTTTTTAGTGAAAACCACACCAAAATTTAGATACTTGCAAAATACTTCTGCCACTGTCAGCCATATACTATTTGCAATGGACACTGATAATTTATTCTAGTAAAGCCAGAAAAGTTGACTAGTCTCAGGCATATATTTGTAAAGAAATCAGAGTTTACCTAGTCACTGGTAGACTTAATAGACTGAGATTACAATTTTGTTCTGAGTGTTATTTGCACAACAGATTTAATTCTCAGGCATTTGGTACTTGTAAAAACTGTACTGCCTCTGTTACATGGGTTACTTTGCTACTGCAGCTTTAGATAAAAAATTATATGTCTTCTTCCCCTATGAAAAGGAAATTAAAATTTGTCTATATAAAGCACTTCTATTTCTGCTCTTACTGCATTTATATAAAGTTACATTGCTGTAACTATCTTAGATGAGGAAAAAACAAACTTAACTATAGTAGTATAGCACTTTAAAATTGTGTGTGTATTAGGTCTAAACAAACTTTATGCATGCAATACAAGTGTTCTTAAGTGTCACCTAGTCCTGGTTTCAGCTGGGCTAGAGTCAATTTTATTTAGCTGGTATGGTGCTGCATCTTGGATTTAGGAAGAAAATAATGATAACACACTAATGTTTTAGTTGTTGCAGAACAATGCATACACTAAGTCAGGGATTTTCCTGCTTCTCATACTGCCTTGCCAGTGATAGAGCCGGAGGAGCTGAGAAGGGATGGAACCATTATAGAAGACTCAAACTGGCCAAAGGGATATTTTGCACCATACGATATCATGCTCATCTCTTGCGCTGGTATATGGGAACTGCTGAATTATGGCCTGAATCTCCGATTGATCACCTGAGGTGAGCAATGAATCAGTCCTGGGAGCACAGGTGAAGGCACTTCACCTGTGCTACTGGAAGGGGTGGAGCCTGACCCCACCTCTCCTAAGCCCCATTTAAGTGCTGACTACCACTGGAAGGATCTCCTTTGGAGATCACTTCTTTTGGAGTCTTCTCAGTGAGTCTAGAAGAAGGGTAAGTTTTCTATCAATTCTTCTTTAGTGTGATAACCTGTTTAGCCTAACTTTCCTGTATATTTCTTAATTATAGCATCTGTATATTCATTGATTACACAACTGGTCATGCTCAACCTTTACATAGGACAGATAAAAAGTCTTATGTCCACATAAGGTGTGCCACTGTTTATGTCAATAACCAGCTGGAGTGCATGGAGATCCTTATGGGGAGGGATAAGGACCTGACAGAGTTTATGAGTTGTGATTAAATAAAGAGAAGGAACAGGTGACATTATAGTGGGGGTCTGGTACAGGCCAACTGATCAAGAAGGATAAGTGGACTAGGCCCTTTACAGATGGATAGGACTGGTCTCAGATTCACAAACCTTGGTAATCCCAGGGGAATTTAACCACACCTATACCTGCTGGAGAAACAACACAGCAGAGCATATGCAATTAAGAAGGTTTCTGCAGTGCACTGCTGGTAGCTTCCTTCTCCAAGTGGCTGAGGAATTGATGAGGAGAGATGCTGTACTGGGCCTTATTCTCACTAATGAAGAAGGGCTTACTAGGAATGTGAAAGTAGAAGGCAGCCTTGACTTCAGTGATCTTTTATGAGGTCACTTAAAGCAGTGAGGAGAGTGCAAGCTCACAGTCCTGGAATTTGGGAGAACAGACATTGGCCTTTTCAAAGATCTGCTTGGTAGAGTATTTCAGGACAAAGCCCTAGATGGAAGAGAGGCTCAAGAAAGCTGGTTAATATTCAAAGATCACTTCCTCCAAGCTCAGGAGTGATGATGAATAAAGAGAAAGTCAGGTGAAAATGCCAGTGGACCTGTGTGAAGGAACAAAGAGATCCTAGTAAAATTTAAACAAAAAAAGGGACTTTCATAGGGTAGAAGAAAGTAACCTGGAATGAATACAGAGATGTTTTCTGAGTAGCCAGTAATCAAATTAGGAAAGACAAAACCTAGACAGAATAGAATCTTTCCAGGGAAAATGCAACAATAAAGACTTCTACAAGTACCTCAGTAACAAAAGAGACTAGGGGAAAATGTGAGTGCATGCATAAATAAGGGAAAGAGAAGATCTCATTATGCAGGACAATGAAAAGACTGAAGTACTGAATGCCCTATTTGACTCAGTCTTTACCAGCAAGACTTCTTCAGGAATCCCAGATCTTAGCAGTCTGGCTGAATGGCTGGAGCTAGGAAGGCATGTCATTGGTGGAAGATTAAGTTGAGGAATACTTGAACAAATTGGATGTTCACAAGTCCATGATTCTTGGTGGAATGCACCCAGGAGTGCTGAGGGAGCTGGCAGCTGTGATTGCAAGGCTACACTTGTACAAGCTGGATGAGCAGACAGTGATGTGGATCAAAAACTAGTTGAACAACCAGATGCAGATGGTTGTGGTCAGTGGCACAAAGCCTAGTTGGAGGCCTGGAACAAATGGAGGTCCTGTCCTGGTTAACATCTTTGTTAATTGTCTCAATAACATGATAGAGTGCATTCTTTGCATATTATGCACGTGACATGAAACAGGAGGAAATTACTTACCAGAGAGCCATGAAGCCATCTAGAGGGAACCTGACAGGCTGTAGAGTTGTGCTGAGAAAAAACTGCATGAAGTTCAACAAAGAAGTGCAGAATTCTGTACCTGGAGAATAACAACCCCAGGCACCAGTATACACTGAGTGCTACTCCAAAGCAGCTCTGCAGAAAAAGACCTGGGGGTGCTGGTGAACACCAAGTCAAGCATGAGTCTCAAAGTCTGTGACTAACCCAGCTCCTTTCAGTTTTGGAAATGGTAGCAAAGCCTGTTCCTGAGAAATGATAGCCAACCTTGACTAACTCCCCCCGGTTTTATTGTTCAGCATGATGCCATATAGTATAGAATAATGTTTTGGTCAGTTTGGGTCAACTGTCATGGTTCTGTTCTCTCCCAGTTCCTGGTGTACCCTCAGACTTTTCGCTGGTAGGGAAGTATGAGAAGCAGGAATATATTGATGTATTATCAACGTTATTTTCAATCTAGATCTAAGACAGCACCATGCCAGCTACTGTGAGGAAAATTGACTCTATTTTTTCTGAAATCAGGACACACCTGAAATCAACAGGGAAAAAAAGATCTGCACATACTGAATACTCTTGGAAGACTTTCATCTATCAGCAAATTTAATCCTCACTTAGATGGCACTAATCATCACTTAGCTCTTAGAAAGTTCTGCTTTCTCCCCAGTGTAACGTGTTACTGCAGGAGGCAAGAATTTTCATGGCGACAATATCATTCACATTAACTTAACTGTATTGTAGGATAAATGCTATATGGAAGTCATTTTCCAGTGAATAAAATAATCTTTAAAAATTCCACGAGCCCTAAATATCTATTAGCCTAAATACCTGACAATATCACAAACTGTTCTGTCTAAAACACCAATGTGTTACTTGCAAGACTATTCATTATAGCACCTCATGATGTGTATTAGTATCACTGCTTCTGACCCATTCGGAAGACCTGAAGGAATTTTCTTAAAATATTCAAATGGGCATTAAAGAGAAAATCTTTCTGCCTTATCTGAAACTGTAGGATCTGGGTGGTTCTTACATTGCTTTTTAAATGTATAATTACCTCATTGCTTGCAGAAAATGTTTGGGTTTTTTTGATCTTATGGAGTTCGTGCTGAAACTTTTGAGTCTTTTGCCGAAGGAAATGGCAGCAAAAGCAACTAATACAGAGAAAAAGAGCTAGATGCTCAGCAGTTTCACATTGCTATTTCTCCTGTGAAATCATTAGATAATATAAGAGCAATGAAACAATGCTTGGTTTAGTTTTTAAATAAATATAAAAAGTAATGCACATCTCATTTAGTAATGCCACACTGTAGGACTGAATCTGTTATATGTAAGTCAAAATTTCATGTATAAGGCAGAGATGTGGCTTGACTGATACCTAAAGGAAAGTTTTGTGATTCTTACTGGGAGTTGGGGAATACCTTTGGTGGCTTCGTACATACACAAAGTGGCATGGAAAGAACCCAAATGCTTAGCCCAATTCCTAACTTGCTTGCTCCCAAAATTCATGTACTCTACATTGGATGCCTACTGTCAAATACTTGAACGTGCACAGCACCATGCAGAATGTAGCTGTCATTCCCGTCTGTTTTCTCTCGCCAACTGATCTATACATCCTTTTCACATCACTATTTTTAGATTGTCTTTTTCTGTTTTGGACTTTTATTTTAACCTCAGTGTATGGTAAAATAACAAGAAAGATCATTCCCCACATTGCCATTGGAAAAGAACACTGTGGTAGAATTCTGTTTTTCATGGGAAGTGGGGAAAATGCTAGAAGTTAAAGGTAGTGCATTATTTGTGCTTCCTAACAGATCATTAGATTTTTTTACACTGAAAACTGATTAACAGTTCCTGCTCCATCCCTGGAGGTGTTCAAGGACAGGTTGAATGAGGCCCTGGGCAGTCTGATCTAGTATCAGCTCTGTCCACAGCAGGAGGTTGAAACTACATGATCTTTCAAGTCCCTCCCAGCCTAAACCATTTTGTGATTCAAATCCTTCTGAAATCATAGGAATTCAATACCAGGCAATACTGATTTTTCTTTTATTCTTTATACAGAAAAGTAGTTGTCAGATTCTCAATACAATTGTTAATCCTACATTAATCTAACGATCTCTGTCACAATCTCTGAGAGAGATCACAACTTGAAAATAAAATTATGTGAGAACAGTATCAGATGCAATAAGCTGGATCAGTGTCAAGAATGAATTTGGTGGTCTAATTACTAAGAATCAAATAATTTACCAACTATGAGGGGGGAAATAATAATAAAAAAAGCAGTAACAATCCAGAGGTACAAAATAGAACTCAATACTTGCAGGATATTAAAAAGTTTGGAATTAGTATCAGCCAGTAAAAGGGAACTTGAGTTAAAAAATAACTAAATAGCATTATTATTATTTTAGGTTTATTTAGTTCCTACTTCATAATATACAAAAATACACAAAATATTAAAAAAATATAAAAAAGAAAAAAAAGCAACAAATATAAAATGTAACAAGTTTATCAACAAAATTATTTGTGGTCAAATTAGAGTGAAAATTATATGCTCCAAGACTGAAACCTTCTAAGAGCTGCACATTCTGCAGTCATGCAGTAGTTTTGAAACACGCTGTAAATGAATATTTGCAGAACTCTATAGACAAATGGTTTATCTCTTTAGGGTGTGTGTAGATAAATCTAGCAGTTAACTTTAGCACAGACATATAAATGAAGATCACAGTAAGATCAAGGCAATTGCTGTCACTGAGAACTTTTGTCATTCACCTCTAGTTTGACTGAGAAGTTGTGACAGATATTACTCTTCCAAATAATAATAAAAAGTTTATCAATTATCATATGACATTAAATCATCATCAAGTAAATCTGATCGCTTAAGGATTTCTTGCTCTCATGCATGGCTAGAATGCTTCTATTTATGCTTTACCCTTGTATTCAGTGGAAGCTGAGTAAAAACCAAGAACACCTGATCAAATTTTACTTGATTTCTCTTGATCTGGAACCATCTTTTAGCATAAAGTAGAACAAGACTCTACATGTTGTAGGTTCCCACTGCTTAAGTGTAAGGTCCAGTGAATAAGGTCTGCTTCTGGGTACCTTTAAAATAATTTATCCCAACAGGATGAGAATAGGATGATGAAGACACAAATCTTGCAATAGAAGACAGATCTCTTATCTTTGATCCTTGTTATCACAATAGAGGCAGAAGGTTTGAGTCCTGTACAAATGCTAAGACATCAATAGGCCTCCAGAGATGCTACTTCCGTAGCAAAGTTATGAGATGTATCTCAACTGCAATTAATAGGTAGTGTGGATGAAGTCTAATGTCATTTTGATTTGACTTCAGTGGAGATACAATGTCATCCACAAATGTTTCGTGCACACAGCGTATTTTATGACTATACTTCAAGGAATAAAATGCTACTAGTTCATAATATAAATCATTTCAGGTATGACCATGCCAAGGTGACCTAACTTCAATGCTTTTGAATATGGTTTTATAGACAGTGATCTTATCATCATTAAAGAAAGAAGAATACGTATATAAAAATAATGAGGGCTCAGTTTCTCTACAATAACTTTTGTTGCTATGAAAGATCCACCTTCTCCTGCTGCTGAAGAGACATTCGTTTCTAACATTTGATTCTTTCCTTTTTTATTGTTTAGCTAAACAGAAAAATCCAGACCAAAGTCATCCTGCTGTGTTTCTATAGTGCTATTCAAGACATGATAAAAAAAAATATGCCAGAGATCAGTTTTATCATCACCTGTTAGCTGCCCAGCTACATGAAAAGTAAGATATATTTATGTTTTAAAAGTCCCAGAGAAGCTGAAAAGGAAGATAATACCATAAATTCCCAAATACAAAATGAAGACTTCAGTGAAAATTGCTACCAGCTCTGCTGCATTGAACTTCTAGCAGTACTAGCATAGATACAGTGGATGCTCCCTTTTGGGAAAAGTGCAACCAATTAATATATGTTTAAAGTAGATTTACCAATAAATATTTTTTTACTGAGATTCAGGAATAAACAAACATGCTAAAAATATTTAGAAAATCTGTCTAATCTATTGATTAGCCTCCAGTTTTGTATGTTTCTTCTCCTTAAGGATGAATGTGAAGAGTTATTAAATACTATCCCAATAATCCTGTTAAATCACTTTGTAAGTCAATAGTTGTTAATTTTCTGGGGCATTGTCTCAGAGTTAGGGCAAGCAGATAACCAGAAGTGCAAACACAGGCAATTTGCATTTGACTTTCAAACAGACAGGTGAATCCTATATAAAGGAAGTTTCAGAGATTAAATTGGCACTTGAAGTCTAGCTGATTTAAGCCTTACATTCAGAATTAATTTGAGCCATGGGTTTCTGCCTGGTGTTAAATTAGACCCTGGCTAATTTCATACTAGTCAAAAATCTGGTGTGAAATTAACCAGGGTCTAATTTAACATAAGTACTTTCACTACAGGAATTCATATGCTTCAGTCTAACTTGAAAGCATTACAGTTTCAATCCTATTACAATTTCTTTATATATATATATGTGTGTGTGTGTGTGTGTATATACATGTGTGTGTATAATAAGGTCATCTTTTATGAAAGAGCAGAGGACCTCAGAGTTCAAATATATTCTGCTTCTATTTAACTAATCATTTTAATAATGCTTCTTCATGTAGCAAGCAATAGTAATATAAAGACAAGGAAGCATATGTTCTTCATTTAAAAGAAGGCATATTCAGAGGATAATTACAGTTTGCAGTATACAAAACACAGTGTTCCTTAAAATTCTCACTCACTAGTTTCTGTGGCTGTAACAGTTATGTTGTGCCAAGACGTTTTCTCTCGGTCCAGAGGTTCAGTAGTAATGATTGTTCCATTGTGTTCATTGATGCTAAACAATCTCTTTAAATGCATGCCTTGGACAATAGAATACCTGCATTAAAATAAAAATAAAATTAAATAAAAATTATATTAAAAAAAAAAAAGGTAGAGATTCCCTAATACTGAAAATCCCTATCAGAAGGCTACTGTCAGATGAAAAAAACAGACCGGTGCATATATATATATAAATGTGTGCAGCAACAACTCAGAAATAATAAAAAATGTACACTTATAAACATTTAAAATTCACTGCTGTCAAGATCAAAGCTCTTCTTTTTATAAAACTAAATATATCTCAGATCTATATTAATGTGAACTGAATCTGAATTCTATTATTCATTCTTCAGGCTCACAGCAGGTGAATGACTTTGCTGAAAAGAAACAGCGAAAGTGCCACTTGTGAAATGAATAACACTAACAGTTAAGTGGATGTATAATGGTAAATCTATTTTATCATTGTTGACATGCTCTGATGCTGAGGCAATGGGCATTATAAAGAAAGACAACTATCTATAATGAGGTGCCACCTGGGCAGGGTACGAAATCCTAAAGTAGAAGATGAATGCAAATCAGTCCACTGCTCCTGAGTTGTCACATAAAATGCTCTGCAGGCTACTTCCATATGCAGACATGCACATGCACATACACATACATACCATTCAAATTGTTAAAGTCTGGTCACAAGCCAGAGATGGACTGAAAAAAGATACCAAAAGTATTGGTTCAGATGGAAAGAGTATTTGTAGATATTATTCATGACATTAAAAAAGGACTATGTGTCACAGCTCCTAGTAGCCAATTTCAGAGAAGAAAAATCTGATTGAAGGATTGAAAGGTTCTTATCATTCCAATTTGGAGTTCACAAGTTTAATTGTTCCATCTTTTTTTGCACTTTTAATTTTGCTTGATAAAATCTTTTTTTTTATCATAGAATCATATGTTTGTTTGAATTGGAAGGGGTCCTTAAAGATCTAGACCAACTCCCCAGCAATGAACAGGAACACTAACAGCTAGATCAGGTTGTTCAGAGCACCATCCAGCCTAACGCTGAAGATCTCCAGGTATGGTGCTTCTATCACCTCACTGGACAACATGTGCCAGTGCTTCACCATACTTATTGTAAAAATATCTTCCTTGTATTCAATCTAAATCTCCCCTTTTAACTCTTACTGGCACTTAAGACAGGCTCAGATTGTGTGTCAGCATTTTGATGAGTCTCTAACACTTTATTAACAGTTATTTTTAGCGTGTTTGGAAAATGACTAAGAGAATAAATTAAGAAATGTCGTAATTAAGCCAATTATAGTATTTTTCATTTGAGTCAAAGGCTTACCTTTTGGAAACTTCTGTTTAGCAGCTCATAATTCAATATTCATTTTTTACATATATATATAGAATTTATAAGCATATTCCTCATCCTCTGCATCCAAAGCTTGTTGGAGGTTTTCTGATACAGTTTCTCTTTTGTGTTTTTTTTTTTGTTTTTCTTTTGTTGTTGTTATTAATCTGATTAATCATTGATAATTGTTAGAAAATCAATGTTGGATGGATTTTAGTTATTTTTTTTTTACAATTGATGTACTACTTTTATTACTGCATTTTTTGTGGCATACCTTTGCTTTATTTATTTAAAAACTAGGGTCCTGATACAACGTAGCGAGTTTCCTATATTTTAAGTACCTGTCATCGCTTATAATAACAATGGTTATTAGATTCATGCCTATATGTTAGGTGCTGCATTTTAAAGTAATTCAGCAATGCAATGTATGTTTTGCTATACTGGGGCTACTCAGACACATCCACTTCATAGTGAGTTTCATTAAACTACTTCAGATTCAAAAGTTGCACTCTGTTTACATGCTACTGTAGATTCTGCAATATCATCTAAATGAATCATGCCTGATTTCTTTGAAGAAAAATATTTTTTATTACTCTAATTTAATGTAACTTGTTTAATAAGTAACAGTAAATTAATATGAAAATATAGCAAATGGCTTTGCATCGACAATTCTTCAGAATATATGTGTACTTGATTTTGCCATTCAGAACCTAATAAGTTAATCTACATGCCATAAATTATTTTGTATGTCATTCATTTGTCCCTTAATGCTAACTTCTTTAAACTGCTGAGTACAGTAATGTCAAGTAACTCAATAAGCAATTTTTAATTATAAACCCAATTTTAAAGATTAATTACCTGTTTTCTCCCTTAAGAAACAGCATAATTAATTTGTAAAATTAAAAGCCTGGAGGATTCTTTTTATATAATATCTCTTTGTGGTTACAGTAGCAGATGTAGGGAATTGGTAAATTTTGATCATGTTGAGGTGAGAAGATGCCAGTGGAGCTATTCTGTATCTTCTTCCCAGCAATGAAACCATCTCTAGACCTCTCCAAAATTTTGGAAAATAGACTGGAACACCTCCATGCACTTACAGGTTTGGTTGAGGTACCCTGTCTCTTCTGTAATGCACATCCTCTACCAGGCCACTATTTAATCTATTGCTCTATCTCAAAATGCTCTTAAAATGCATGAAGCTATTTTATTTTTATTTTGGGTAGGGGTCAAGTTTTAATCTAGAATAACCCTGGTTATCACAATGAAAGCATGATGAACTGTAAACATGAGCCAAAGTAAGGAACACAAATAGCCTTGGTGGCCTTTGAAAATACTATGATTACATTTGAGACATGTTTAGATTTTGAATTAAGTACCTGACTGGGCTGTCATCATTGTCCAGATCTCTTGCAGATACAATTCCAACCAATGAGCCACTTACAGCTCCTTCAGCAATCTCCATCACATAGCTCTCCAAAGTGAAAACTGGAGATTCATCAGCATCTACCACACTGATTTGTACAATAGTTACATCTTCAAATGGTCCTTCTTTCAGGAAACGATCATCTATGTACCTATTTACAGCTTTTACTCTAACACTGTGTTTCCTCTTGCTCTCATAATCCACTCTCTGTAAAGAAAGAAAGAAAATGAGATGAAATATATTTCTTTTTTAACATATGAGTTAAAATACAAATCCACAAGCAGCATGAAAAGAAGTGCAAAATAATGCTTCTCCTTCCTTTTGGGAATGTTTTAAAAGTAGATAATTCTAAGATTTAATATATATATATTAATTTTATTAATTAATAGTTATTTTATTAATTAATAATTATTTTATTTGTGTTAATTTTATTACAATTGAACTTAACAATGCTGTTGTTTGGTTCAAATGTAGGCTAGTTTTAACATTACCATTGAACAACACTGTAAATAGGTCTTTCAATAGATAAGAAAAACACCCTCTATAACACATAGTTATATAACTATTTTTACTGTCAGTATATTCTGAAATCTGAACAAAGTAAAGGCAAACAAGTGACAACAAAAATCTTCCAAATCTCTTTTGGAAAAAAAAAAAAAATCCAGAATTTTAATGAACTAGAAAAAAAAAAAAGCAGTAACAACAAAAAATGTTAAAACATTCAGTTCTTCACGCTCCTGAATTTCACTAGTGACTTTATTTCAGATGAAGTGCCAGGTGGCCTGGAATGTTTCCTCTGCAAAATAAATCACATCATATTAAACCTGTGAAGTATTTTACTTCATAAATAAGTATCACAGTAATGTATTTAGTGCATTTCTAAAGCTATGCAATTGCAAACAAAATCCACTTTCTACGTTCTTTCTATAGATTCTTTCTTCACTGAAGTTTAAGAGGAATTGATGGAAGTTCTTGTGTTTATTTTAATGATAAAGGTTTTACAGATGGTGCAAAGAAGAGATTGATTGATTGTCACAAATGGTACACTGTGTTGCACTGCAAGGAATAATATTAATATATTTTGGCTGCCAGTATTTTATTTAGTGCTTACATGAATGAGACAAAAAGAAAACAGAAGGAAAAAAGTTTTTTTTGTTTTGTCCCTCTAATATTCCAGTCAAACCACATTGCCTGAAGAAAGGAAAAAAAGAAAAAAAAAAAAGAAAAAATTGGTAGTATACGAAAGAATAGGCGTTTTATTAAATATATTTATTGTTTGAGGAAGATCTTCTCCATATTTAGGTATATTTCAGATTGCTACTGAAATCTCACCTTTTTTAGTAAGATAATTCCTTCCTGAGTCTCCCTGTCAGTAATGATGCCAAAAACATCTGAACTATCTCCTTCAATGAAATAGTTCATGGCTGCATTCTTCCCTATGTCGCTGTCTTCTGCCAGGAGTCTGCCTACAGTAGTGCCCACAGGAGCTTCCTCGGAGACATTCATATAGTAGAGTCCTAAGGAAACAAATACTGACACAGCTCAGTGATCCATCACGGTTAATAGCTACTAAAGCTATGATGGCCTGGGGCTCAGAAAACCAGGGAAAGCCCTCAGCTTTTACTAGAGCAATGTACCTAGTCCAACAATGGATGGACCCCAGGGGCAAGGTGAGACAGCATTTCCTCCTACAAGTCTCTCACTCTGAGTTCCATTTTAGTTGTAAATAAAAGGCTTAGGAGAATCAGCTATAGCAAGGTGAAAAAACAGTGGAGGGCAGCATTTCCCAGCTACATTTTATTAGTTTCTCCCACTAGGCCATTTAAATGATTGTAAGAAACTACCTGGACAGACAGTCACATCACTTGTCAAAAAGGTTACAGTATCTGCTAGGATAAAATAAAATACAATAAAAATGAAGAGAGTAGAGAAAGAAGGTTCTTGAAAATTGTACTTGGAATCCTATTGCTTAGATATTAAGCACAGGTAAGAAATTATATGGAAAACAGATTAGTAATTAAGTAATTTGTCTCCAAAGCCTCATGAAAAATACATCAAAGCCTAAAGTCTTTTGATAGTGGTGGCTTTTTTCTTTTTCTTTTTCTTTGGTGTTTGATTATTTTTTGTCCTGTTGTTTTTTGTTTGCTTTTTAAATCTTTAATGCTGAAATCAAAGCACAGACTTGTGCAGAAAACAGTTCTAATTGAACTTAATAGGGCTATGGTAGATCTAAATTTTCCCATGCCTTCAACTGCTGTAGCATATACTCACTCTGCTGAAATTTGGGTGGATTGTCATTGACGTCAGAGAGGTTGATGGTAACAGTGGCCGTTGCTGAAAATGCTCCTGCTTGTCCAACCATATCTTTGGCTTGGATGACAACCAAATACTGATCTTTTGTTTCTCTGTCCATTTGGGAAGCCATTCTGATGACTCCTGAAAATGAAAAGTACATTTTTAGGTCCCTGACATATAATATAATACTCATGTTTTTCCCAGTAACTGTCCATATAATATAGGTTTAAAATCCATCTTTGGACACAGTCCAATTCTATATGTCCCAATCTAGGCTATGCTTATGGCAACATCTACAGAGTGTTAAAGATTCATTCTGTATGCTTAGAATTCTAGGGAACAGAACACACCATGTATCTTTTATATCATATGTAATAATCTTTCTTTCCCAGAAATCATGATTTTGAAGGGAATACCTGTGATTTTTCCAGTACAGAGGTAGAAACAGTCATATAATGAATCTTGGTTCTGTTAACCCAGAAGTTTTCCTGGGTCCACTTGTTGGATGAGTATTCAGAATCCAGCTCTTTTCTTTAGCAAGGCAATTTCCTAACTAAATTGTTGATTCTCTAAAGAGATATAAATATTGTCTGCTTCCTTTGGGAAATGAAGTGTTCATTTTTTTTTAAAGTGTGGGAATTATGAAAAGATGTAAAAACAAGGTGGTATCAGTTGATATTTTTGCTGAAATGAGGAAAGAAATACTGGCTTTCATCAATTTTATGTTAGTTTATGATTTTTTGAGGTGACAAGATCATTCTCTAGTACCTGTCTTTGGCTCCACAGAGAAATAAGGCTGACCCTGAACGAGACTGTAAAGAAGCCGGGCATTATTCCCATAAGAAGAATCATCACCATCTGTAGCTGTTACCTGTGTAACAGAAGTACCTCAAATAAAAAATAAAAGATAAATAAATAAATAAATAAATAAATAATAAAATAAAAAAAGAAAAAAAGAAAAAAAAAGAAAGAGAATAGATTATTCTCTATGTAAAAAGCACAGCAGAATCAATCTTCAAAGACTTCATCTTTGACTGAAAGCTGGCTATATCCTATACACAAGAATTAGAATGAACTTGTGGGGTCATTAGTAATGACTACCTTTCAAAAGCAAACATTCATTGTACTGTCACTTAAGGTAACCTTTACTTTCACCTCTTTTTTTGTCACATAACCTGCACAAGGACACAGATAATCAGTTATAATCATCAAACCATAGAATGGCTTGAGCTGGAAGGGACCTCAAGTATCCCTAAATTCCAACTCCAATGCCACAGATACAAATGCCAGCTGCTGGATCAAGTACTAGATCAGATTGCCCAGGGTCCTGTCCAAACTAGCCTTAAACACCTTCTGGGATGGAGTACTCAAAACATCTCTGGGCAACCTGTTCCATTACCTCGCCACTCTCTCACTACAAAGCTTCTTATGAGGAAAACAGAAAATCAAGCTTTTTTCTAAAAATTTTCTAGCAGTCATTCATATACTTGTGTCTGCTTATAGCTGCAATATAGATGTACAGTTATGCTAGAGGAGAAAAGAAGAAATGATGGATTGCAAGGAAATAGATCTGAAGCACCTTTTTATGGCAAACTCAATTTTTTTTTACCAGTAAAACATATATATTTAATTCTGAACTTACTATTATAGAATTGAATAAGATTTTCACATAGAAGGGTATGCTGAACATGGCAAATGAAATGTTTTTATTATTTTCAAAAGTATTCATACTTTGAATTTACTCTTAATTTAGTCAGCAGCATTTCGAGTGGCTCTGTAATGCGTGCTATCTTCCCTCAGAGTGGAGATACACTAAGATGTTATTCATACCCTAAGGTGTTCTTCATTCCTACCAACTTTTGGAGTAATATATCCTTCAAAATAGCTATAACACCAAACTTCTAACATGCATGTATTAGCTGTGCGTCATATATATGTATATCACTCTGTCTTGCTTTGTGGAAACATTAGAGTGTCAGACTGCTATTTAATTGAGAAACATACATACCTCAGAAATAGCAGTGTTTTTTAACAAAACCAACAGATAAAGTAAATAGAAGCACTCAGCTACACAGCTGTTATGTGGAAAACTATTCTAAGTAATACCGGAAATTCAACCTCTCAGGCATGTTAGCATGACTATAATGAAGTTATTTTGAAAGACATGGATTGACAAGCACTGTGGATAATACAATAAATACAGCCTGTTATACAGCCTATAAATGCAGTTTTTCTGCTAAAGAAACCTAAGAACAAATGACTAAGTTCAGAAATCTATTTGTTTACAGCACCATGTTTAACAAATTTTCTAATTTGTTAGAGAGATGGGACAAAATAAACAAGGCTGAAAAGTTTATAATTACAGCTGTTTGTATCTCAATCATTTAAAGATAGATTTGCTTCCTATAGTTAGTATTCACAGAAATGTTGAAACTAAAATGGTTTTTGCTGCTTCTGTGAGCCCCAGACTACTTTTTTGCTTGCCTATTAACTCTTTGATAGTATCACAGAAGAGTGGTATTTCTTCAGGAGGGCTCAGGGAGCAGGAACCTAATGGAAAGGTGAAGCAGGGAAGGGCTGCCGGGTAAAGAATGAGCTGATTTGGAGGGAAGGAAGAAGATAGGTCTCCTGTATTAGGAGGAAGACTCCACACAATGATTTCTCATATTATCTGTGGACAAATACCTCGTAATCAGTACATAAAGATTTAAATATTGACTATGAAGGGACCATAAGGAAAATGTTATTCCAAGCTTGAAATTTTTTTTTTTCTAGTTTTTAATCTTTCACTACCATGAAGCCTGTATTGCTTTATGAAATTAACTTACATCAAACAAAGCCATTTGCGGAGTGGAGCTATGTTTTCACATAGACATTTGTATATGGATGACAGAAATTAAAGAATATTATCTCCCAATAACCATGGATGGGAGAAAAACAATTAATCAGAATAAATAATCTATTGGAAAAAAAATCAGTTATCATTTTTTTAATCTAAAAAATAAAAAAATTCAACTCTTGACATTACAGATATAAAATTATATAAATGAGAATCTAATTATGATAAATATTATGAAAATGGATACTATGCCATAGACTAAATATACTTGAAAGTTTTCAAACATGCATTTTCTGAATATTTGGGTATAACACTGGTATAAAATTTAGCCCAAAATATATACTGTATGTACACATAAGTGTCTTAAGCTACATAGTAGACATATTTACACATTCTGCGCTTTTCATCAGGTTCTACCTGATGCAAGCAACATTTTTCCGATTGCTGTATAAGATTTTTCTTTCTATTCCTGCATCCTTGATTTTACTCCTTTTGCACAAAACAGAATTTTGCCACTAATACTTTGCAGCCTGTTAGATAAATTGGAGGGTATTCATATAGAATCATAGAATCATGTAATGGTTTGGAATGAAAAGGACCTTTAAGATCATCAGTTCTTACACCCTGCTATAGGCTGGGACACAATATTTACTCATTTTTTCTAACTAGAGCTTGAAATCTACAAAAACACTACGTAGTGATAAATGGCTGCATCTGACTCAACCATTCCATCAGACATACTGCATTTGTTCAAGTTTAACAGCTATGTGGGAGGCATTTAATGTAAAATTGTGCCAAACGCCTGAGGAAAACTGCAGATCTATACTCTCAGAAGGGAGTCCATTTGCTAACACACTGTTCATTTACAGTGATACTTGCATACAAAATCCTAATAAAATTTAGTGCTGAAGATAAAACAGAGGTAAGAAAGAAGTAAAATGTATTCTAATTTGTTGTCATTTGAGTACATGTACTGATATTTTTACCTAAATTTAGGTAAAATTATCCATGCCTGTTTTCTGTTTTTCTATGATTCTCTGCGGCAAGTAATACCCAGTCAGTTGTGAATTATTTTCTCACTGCTTTCTTCCAGACAAAATGCTCAGTAACTATGGACTGTTTTTCAAGTATTGTCTATGTTTTCTTCAAGTAAATCAGTAGGAGATTCCAGGTCAACTACCACTGATCTGAACAGCTGCTGGAGACCTCCACAACAGTGCAAAATCGAGCTCAATTTAAACTCTTTCCTAAGCCTATGTGCTTACTATACAAAAGAAGATTTTATTCTAAAGATGAGTGCCTTAGTATGCAAACCAAAACAGTTTCATTTCAGAAGTACAGCGACTGCGCTTAGGGAAGCAAGGAAACTGAGCTCACAGAGGATTTCATGACATGCCTCAACATTTCCACATATTGGATCTGACCACTGTTAAGGTGCATACATCACTCTACCTATACTCTCTGCTCTTGTGAGACCCCCTTTAGTTCTGGGGCCCCCAACACAAGAAGGACATGGAACTGTTGGATCAGGTCCAGAGGAGGGCCGTGAAGATGATCAGAGGGCTGGAACACCTTCCTTATGAGGACAGGCTAAGAGAACCTGGGCTCTTCAGCCGGAAGAAGAGAAGGCTCTGAGCAGACATGATAGCGGCCTTCCAGTACCTGAAGGAGGCCTACAGGAAAGCCGGGGGAGGGACTTTTTCTAAGTGCATGTAGTGATAGGATGAGGTGAAATGGTTTTAAACTGGAAGATGGTAGACTAGATATTAGGAAGAAATTGTTTACTGTGAGGATGGTGAGACATTGGAACAGGTTGCCCAGAGAGGCTGTGGTTGCCCCCTCCCTGAAAGCATTGAAGGCTAGGCTGGATGGGGCTTTGGGCAACCTGGTCTAGAGGGCGTTGTCCCTGCCTATAGCAGGAGGTTGGAACTAGATGATCTTAAAGGTCCCTTCCAATCCAAACCATTTTATGATTCTATGATTTTATATGACAGATATGCACATTAATTCGTCATTGTCTTTGTTTAACCCGGGTAGGTTGCTGAATACCTCACAGCTGCTTTCTCACTCCCCGATCTCAAAGGAACAAGGGAAGAAAATACAACTAAAAGAAGATAATGGGTTGAAATAAGGACAGGGAGATCACTCACTGTTTACCATCACAGGTAAAACAGATTCTGGGTAGAGAGATTAACGTAAATTATTGCCCAGCAGACTAGAGGAGTGAGAAACTAAAAGCAAATTAAAAACACTTGCTCCATCTACCTTCTTTTACCTCCTTTCCCCAGTTGGTGCAAATGGAGGCTGCAATCAGTCCATACATATCACTTTGTTTTAGTTGCTCCTCCATGGTCACTCTGCCTCCTCTTCATGTGGGTCCCACCCACAGCATGCCATCCCTCCTGAACTGATCCCATGTGGGTTTCCCACAGGCTGCAGTTCTTCCAGCATTGCTCCAACACAGCTCCATTACACGGGGCCCACCCTTCAGGCACTGCTCCATCCTGGGTTGGAGCAGGTACCCATGAGCTGTGCCTCCCTCTGGCCTCATCCATCTCTGCCCCGTGGGCTTCTCCATGGCTGCTCTGGCATATCTGTTCCACGCAGTGCCCACAGGCTGAAATGGGACAGCCTGCTCCTCCGTTGGCCTCTCCTAGGCTGCAGGGAGCTGCTGCTATGTGCCTGGAGCTCCTCCTGCCCTCCTTCTGCACTGACCTTGTTGCCTGCAGAGCTGTTCTCTCATATCTCTCACCCCTGTCTCCCAGCTGTTATTGCACAGCAGTTTTTCCCTTTCTGAAATCTGCTCTCCCAGAGCATACCCAGCATCGCTCACAGATCAGTTCTAGACAGTGCATCCCTTTTGGAGCAACTGGAGCTCTGATCTGACATGGGGCAAATGAACCTCCCTTGGCTTCAAAGCTACATAAATGCAACAGGTATGCACTAGTGTCTAGATGGAAGAAGTAGATAAAAGAGTAACCTTGGAAATAACTATGGTACTAGTGCTAGAGGTCAAACACAAAAAGAGTGTAGAAATTATTTCAGGTTCCACAGGACTTAACTAAATTAATGCCATATAGTGGTTGATTGAAAATCTGTGAGTTTCAGTTCAGGTTTTGGGATGCAGTAGGATGCTGTCTTATTTTTAACCCATTATGAGAAATTACGTAATATTACATTTCAGTTAAATCTTTGTTATAATCTTACAGAAATATTAAAAATAGAAAGGTTTTTGCAATTTAATTAGTCTTATGCTGAACTGACATAATGCTTGTACTTTAGGAATTTAAACGTGGCAGATGATAGGAAATTAGCTAAATACTGCTGAACCTTCTATTTTTAGGTTTTCAGATTATAGGCAACTCAAGTCAATACAGACTGAGATGTTGTACCTGTAAACAGCTTATTGTTGATTTTAGGTGAAAAACAGAGGTGTATGTGAAAATATTACTGTTGTTCTTTGCCACACATACCATCCTGCCTGCCACCTTTTTTTCTTAATTTATTTTTCTCCCATATTATCATCCTTTCGTCATTTAGAGAGTAACTCTTCTGTAAGACAGGAAGGTAGCATAGAAGAATATCAGAATTGAATTCTTGATATACTTGTGTGAATAGTTACAGGTCTGGGTGAGTGTAAATTGAGCCATATTAAAGTATCAACTACTTTAAAATCATTTTTATAAAAGACAAAATGCCTTATAAATAACTCATTATCACTTAAAAAGAAAAAAAAAAAAAAAAAAAAAAAAAGGAAAGGAAAAAATTGTTATCAGAATCTTAAAATCTGTGTAATCCCAGATAAAAACACCCAGCTAATTCTAGCTAATTCTAGACAGTGAACTGACATGTTCCTTAATATCATAGAATCATGGAATGGCTTGGGTTTGAAGAGACCTCAAGGATCATTAGGTTCCATTCTGACTGCCACAGGTAGCGTTGCCAGCCTCTAGATCAAGTACTGGATTAGATTGCCCAAGGTCTCATCCAACCCACCCTGAAAACTTCAGAAACAGGGCACCCACAACCTGTTCTGACATCTCACCACTCACAGAAAAAATTTCTCCCTGACATCTAATCTAAATCTCCTTTCCCTTAGTTTAAAACCATTTCCTCTTGTCCTATCACTATCTACCCATGTAAAAAGTTGATTTCCCTCATGTTTATAAACACCCTTTAAATGTCGCTATGAGATTTCCCCACAAACTTTTCCAGGCTGAACAAGCCTGGTTCCCTCAGCATATCTTCATAGGAGAGGTGCTCCAGCCCTCTAATGGTCTTTGTGGACCTCCTCTGGACCCTCTCCAAAAGCTCTATGTCTTTCCTGTGTTGGAGGCATTCAAGAAATGTAGAGATGTGGCACTGAGGGACATGATCAGTGGGCAGTATTGGTGGTAGGTAGACAGTTGGACTAGATCTTAGAGGTCTTTTCTAACCTTAATGATTCTATGGTTCTATGGTTGAAGGCCTCAGACTTGGGTGAAGTACTCCAGCTGGGAGGGCAGAATAGAGGAGGGTTGCCACCTCTCTTGCTGTGCTGGCCACCTCTCTTCCAATGGAACCCAGGATATCATTGGCCTTCCAGACTGCAAGCAGATGGTGCTGGCTCATGTTAAGTTTTTCATATAAGAGGACCCCTAAGTCCTTCTCAGCAGGGATGCTCTCAAGGAGTTTCTTCTCTCAGTTCATATACATATCTGAGATTATCTTGAACCAAGCTGAAAACCTTGCACTCTGCTTTCTTGAACCTCATTAATTCACAAGGGCCCAACTTTCAACTTTATCAAGGTCCCTCTGGATGGCATACCTTCCTTCTGCTGTATCAACTGCACTTCTCAGCTTGATGTCATCAACAAACTGCTGAGGATACAATTTTACTGTGAGCACATAAAAAACTGCAAAGAATTCTGACAAAATGTCCATCTTCTTGCCTCTAATCTTGAGGCAACAAGGCCACAAGTGCCCTCTGAACCACTAACAAATTATGTTAGAAAATTATTTAAATACAGATGTCTTGAGAAAAAAAAAAACTATTCTGCCTGAATGGAAGTAAAGAAACAATGTAACAAATGGAAGTAAAGAAACAATGTAACAAATAGTACATTGTATAAAGGAGGGTTACCAGGAAATAAGTTGATTAAATGGACATCTTTTGCAGCTATTGCTGGTAGTAGCTGTGAACTACTGCTTTGTAGCAGGAATTAGGACATTAACCTCTCTTTTAATTAAACTCTAAAAGTGAGTATGCCTGACTTGCAAAAGCTATCCAAGATGACAGAAGATGATTAAGTTTACAGCTCTTTGTGAAAGATTCACTGAAACTATCATAAAAGATGGATAATGCTGAATGAAATGTCTTCTGTTACCCAATGCTATTAAGTTAACGTGCTCATTAGTTCATACAATTTTAAGTAACACAATATTAAAATTTCTTTTCAATTTTATTTGATTTTCTTTGTAATAGAAATAACCAAGAGATAGAAGTAGGAATTTAAAAGATTCTTTCAGTAAGTTTGAAGAAGACAGTTGGGACAGTTATATAATAACAATCTACTTGTATATGTCAGCTGCTTTCACACAAGTTTCCAGATACGTACTCCAGATCTTTTTGATGTGTAGATGTGTGGAAGATCTGATCCAGAGTTTAGGTCATTGCTTCTGACATCAAAATTTAATTATCTTGCTCATGAACTTGAAATACTAGTAAATTGTCCATCATCTAATCCAAACAAAGGGAAGCTTACCAATTGGGATAGAGGCTTGGCTGTGGAAATAGGTAGGCATCATACATGATACGAGGATGGTCATCACATCAGCCCACTTCATTCCTGTTCTGAACTCATTACTTACAGGAAGGAAACTATCCCTATATTTGGGGGAAAATCATGAGTGCTTTGATGTAAATTTGATTCTTCTCCAGTTACAATACAGTATGATTTATATTACACAGAGTATAATAAAGGTCTACTGTCTAATTGGCGAGCAAAATCAGAAGAGACTGAAGAAGTCTGCTGAGCGCATTTCAGTTCATCTGAGCTTATATTTATGTGCTCAAAGAGACAGGCAAGGTCAGAGGCCATTAAAGTTTAAGTGTATGCTTTTTTTCCATCACACTGGTAGAAGCCTGAAGAGCTGACAGGTTGTAACAATAGTCATACACTGAAGAATTGTATAGACACTAGGGTTTTATCTTGATTAAAAAAGTAGTGAAATCTGTCTGACTAAAATCTCTCCTGCAGTACCAACTGGCTACAGTATTCTACCTATTCTGAAGTGTGATGCAATTTTTATTTTTTATTTTTTTAAACAAGTATCTGTTTCAAGGCTGAATCATTATGGAAAATGCAACTTTTTATATTCAACACAAGTATGAATCCAAAATCTGTAAAACAACTCTGAAAGATGGAGGTACCTAAATATTTAAAGGCAACTATGTTAATTGGAATTATTCACAAAATTCAGTTTGAACATATATCTTTTTAAATTTGTAATGTTGTAAAATATCATGGCTTCCTTCTCATTGAAAAGTTGTCTATGCAATATTCTATTAAGATTTTAAATGAATATATTATTGAAATAATAGTAATCAGGAAATAAAATTTTAGTTTATAGCACGTCATACCTTCAGGTGACATCTCTGGAACAGTAGCCACATAAGGTCCATCTAAGAATTGTGGTTCATGATCATTGATATCTCGAACTTTGATAATAAATTCTGAATCAGGTTCAATAGGAAGACGAGTCTTCCTATTGATTACTTGTGCTCTAAGAATATAGAAGGATTTCTTTTCTCTATCCAGCTTTTGTCTCACATAAATTTTGCCATGTTCATTGATGAAAAAAATGCTGTCAGCTCCCTCCCCAGTCAAAATATATTGTAGGCTGCCATCCTCCTTGTCTAAATCTGATTTCAGCTGTAAGTGAAAAGCAGAAAAAATATTATTATTATTTAATTCTCACATTCAGGTGAAAATAAAATTTGGAAAATCAGTTTTCAGTTTTTTATGTTCTTATTCTACAGTGAGCTCTCTCACTTGTGAACCTTCATGGAAACAAATATTTGAAAGAGGGCATTGTCACATTTTTAGCCAGTTGCGTCTCAGTTTTAAAATATTGATAAAGCTGACATATAAACATATGGTAAACCTGAAAAAGGGTGCTTCAGCCACTTTGGAGATAAATGAATTAATGTTATGTATATGCCTTAGCTCATTGCTTTATCAGCTTCTGCTGAGAACAGTGCAAAGGTCCTTAAAAAATTATCTAAATTTTTTGTTATTACAAATGTTAAGTGTGTCTTATGATTATTACAGAAATATATATATATATATTATTTTTATACTCAGCAATACCAAGTGTAATCATCAAGAGGATTGCTGTTCCAATTTTATTGTAATATTAGAGAGATGCAAAGCCATTCTGAGGTATAGGTCTGTATTGTTCATTCTGAAATAAATTGACAGACATTTTCCATTTCGTTCCAGGATGATCTGCATCCTCTCTTATCTTGATAAGATGAACTTTATGATGATGATTCCTTTGATGAAGCTGAGCCCTGGAGACTAGTGTGGTCCAGCTGCATTTTTTTACATCAATAAAATTGTTCTATTAATGTTAATGATATGCAACAGCACTTTTGTGATGGCAGGGACTGAAACACTTAGTGTGCCAGTCACCTGCAGTTGATATTTTTCCCAACATCATTTTCCACCATATAATTATTTCCCTGTTTCTTTCTTGTTTTGTTTTATTTTGTTTGTTTGTTTTTCATTTATTTTGGGTTTTGAACATAACGTCAAAATATCTAAGAGCAAGGATAAGTACTGAATAATTCAATGTAATATATATATATAAATATATTCAACTTGCTTCTCCTACAAAGTAGTGTGTTTTAAAAGTAAATTACATGTCTAGCTGTTCATTTAAATAACATTCCTGTTTTGCTTCATTGTTACTTTCTTATTGAACCTACAGCTCAGTGTAGACTACATGTTAGAAAAAAAATAACTGTGGCACACGTCTCTATCAGATCTACTGAAAATATTTTGTGATAACTGCTGATGTTGTAAGTTTCTGCTTTTCTTTGGAAGCTGTATTTTGAATTGTATATTTGTTCAGTTTTATGCATTAAGTTGACGGTTTATCTAAAATGTGCCCAGGACACTTCTCTGAGATATGAGGGACACAGTGCTGAGTTCTTATATTGAGTTTTGTCTAAGTATTCAAGCCCTAAATTTTCAGTTAATTTCCCTTAAAAACATGAAATATCATTTTTAGGGTTATGATGTTTAAATTCTTTAACATACAAACATCTTAAACTCTAAAGTTTTCAATATATGTAGTTTATTCAAAACATGGGGCAGGTTCACATTTATGTGGTGAACCCAGAGGCAGGATCTCTCTATGAGTAGTCTGGTCCCACTTGTTAAATTTGAACATTGAGCTCTGAGTGGCTGCGTAAGGAGTTATAATATGGAATAAGAATTAACAGAGACTGTCTATCACTATCATTTTGTTCATGGAGTTTCTTCTGGTCTTTATTTACTAAAAAGTCATATGTTGATCATAGATTTTCACTTTATTTACAGAAAATAGAGTTTATTGTACTCAACAGAAAGCCACAAATAAATGTCTGATCTATAGAGTGGTTAAACTGCAGTAAATTAACAATAGTTCTCAATTAAAATTCCCCATATTTTACCTGTGTAAAATAAAAACACAATATTATTAAAGTTGTCCAGAGCTGGAAATATATTTATAAAGTTTCTTTCATGGGAAACTGTGTTTCCCAGCTATGGGAAAAATAATAATGATAAAAAAATGAGTATTTCTATACATGTTTTTCTAGAAGTAAGACATTGCACTTCTGTAGCAGTTACTTCAGAGGGGCTGAGAGAAAGTAATTAATGAATTTTGAGCACTTCACCCTTTGGGCCCAATTAAATTTTAGTGCTAGTTAATTAGCAGTTAAACTTATTTTGGTTCATTCATCTAGAAAGTAGCTTAAAGAAATGAAACTAGATCTCAAGATTACAACTACTTCTAGCTTACAAAAATAAATAATAATAATAAATAATAATATGAAAGTAAGCAAAAAGGGAAAATAAGGAGTAGGTAAAGTCTCATTAATACAATTATCGTAAAGAACATTTTTAAAGGAGGGTGAAAAGTAATTGCTCATTGTACTAAAGCTACATAAACCTAATGAACCATGCAGAATCCTGGAGTTTCTCAGTGGTAAAAGGATTTAGTATTAATCTGGTTCATTAAAAATTAATGAGGGATGAATCAGCTGCTACTTAGTGTAATAGAAGATCATGCTAAGTACTGTTTGTAAACTACACTGCAATCAGTATAGCTGCTTTGATGGAGAGCCAAAAATAGCACAAACAAATTGCCAGATGTTGATAACTGATTCCTTAACTTTCATTCAGAAGATAGAAAGGATATTTTCATTTTGGTACCTCCACCTACTCCGCACAGTTTTAGTTTCAGTAACTGAGTGAGCATTGTGTTTCCTTGATTGTAGAGCCAGATGATAGAAAGCACTTGACTACTACCAAGACCTCTAGTGCCAGTAGTTCTTTGATCCCAAATCAGATCACAGAATGTTGAGGTGTTGTGCTGCCCAATAACAGCTACCTTAGGTCATCTTCCTATTTTTCTTGATATTTCCTGGTCAAGTAATCAGCATGTTAGATATAACCTTGTATCATCCTGTCATCATGACTTGTCATACCTGTCCAACATACATAGGCATCGTTGAAGTCTCTTCCTCAGTTACAAAAAGTGGCTCCCATACCCAGCCACGCTTCACTCTCTGAATTGTTGTGTAAGACTGATCTGTGTTTTGAGCACTGAAGTTCTGTGTGGTTGGAGAACAAAGTCGAAGTTGAACCAGTGCCAGCAAAAGAGAGGGGAAAGTGGAGCAATTCATGCTGAAATCTCTTTTCAAACAATTTTTATCTGTGGAAAAGGAGAAAAAAATAAAAATCTTTGACAAAGCATCAATTCTATCTTCCCACTTTTACGTATATATTCTGTGCTAATGGAAGAGCTGATTTGCAATCTTAAAACCTCCTCCCCTCCCAAAAAGGAAAGAGCTGAAACAAAGTCTGCTTCTGATTAAATTGGAGATTCCTTAAGATGCCCTGGCATGAACATCAAGTGTTCAACTTCCCTTTATGAATATTCCGCACAGGGACCTTTTAAGCAAAAAATGTTCTCCAATTAATTCATCTTCCAAATTAAGCTGGGCAACTGAATTGTAGCTCAGGAATAATTTGATTGGAATAATTGTATGTTTCTGCTTAGACAAGGCTCATTTTGAACTGCAGTCACAGTACTGCCTGAAGGTTGTAGAGTACTTTGTTTTGTTCTAGAATTGTCTCCAAGTTTAAACCTAACACCATTTGAAACTTAGATATTAATTTCAGGTGACCTGGTAGTCTGATTTGGTTTTGAATTCACTTTATTATAGTACAAATAATTTATTATAAATTTTGACAAGTTTGGTATATTATAAAATAGTACCTTTTGCTACCTAACAGTTTGTGAGTAATAATAGGTAGAGTAAGATGTTTAAAAAATTGGCTTCTGGAATTTAGTGCCATAAATTTTGCATTGATGGAAAAAACAAAAGACTAAGGAAAGGCAAAACAGCAATGTTATGAAGTATTTATCTATATATGGACAGAGATGATGAGGATAGTTTCTGTTCCAGTTTACATATCTGAAGAATAAGGACAAACAAACTTAATTTTGTAACAAATTAATAATAACAACAACACAACAACAACTTGAAATAAGCAAAGTCTTACAATTAGGGAGTTACATCATGCCAAAACATGATAACAAGGTAGATACTTCTTAAATAGGGGTTCTTAGGACCACCTCATATATTTACTTGAACTTTTTTTTTATTGCAGGATTTTGAAAAAGTGACTCCTGAGGAAAACAGTTATCTCTGTTCTTTAAAATTCTGTGCAGAAAAAAGAAATACCAAAAAGAAATTCCTTTGGTGTAATTAGGTGATGTCTTTCTTGTGTTTATAGAATCAAGCAAACAATAACAGAAAAGTAGAACAATTCATGTGAGCCCATCAAATTCAGTAAGTGAATCTTCTGAAATACAATTCTTATCTTGATGGTTGGTGGCCCTGCATGTGGCAGTGGGGTTGGAGATTCATGATCCTTGAGGTCCCTTCCAACCCTGGTAATTCTGTGATTCTGTGATTCTATGTGAGTTTTGATTTGTGTGCTAGTGTTGTCGTGATTATCATGAAATTTGTCTCCCTTATAAGCTCCTATCTTTAATCTTCCCTTAAGGTAAAGAAACTGTATTTGTAATTAACAGCAATGCATTTCAGAGTGTTAGAAAAAGATTGATTAAACAGAAGCCTTCCTATTTTCAACTATACATATGTTTACTTGTAGTATATCTACTCTTTGTTCCACTTTATGTGACTGATTACTAGTAATACTAGTGGGTTACAGTGCTGCTGCTTTATATTCCTTCAAGAAAAGGTTGCAAATGAATTCATTTTTATTGCCAGTTCAAGCTTTACACAATGTGATAGACACTTGGTTACACTTTTTACACACAGTGAAATAATTGTATGCATGTATCTATATTATGTATATATGTATATTCATATATTATATGCATATAACATATTCTTCAATTATTCAGTGCAAATGTTTGTGGGTTTTTGTTTGTTTTTTTGATCCTGATACTTAAAACTTACTTACTGTTTTTTAAGAAAGGAAAGAACAGTGGTAAAATATTCCTATATTTGCATAATAGTGGAGTTAGTCCTATTCTTGCAACTTTTTACAGTTGCAGAATTTCACATGACTTTGGGCTACTACATCTAACAAATATGCCAAATGTAATTATACTCTGGTTACTAAAGCTAAACGTCTAAAACGTAATACCTTCAGTCAATTAATTAGAAATATATCAACAGTAGCCTCGCTAGTCTAATGCATGCCTAGCTATTTTAAAAGCTATTACTTGTCCTTGAGAAGTGCCTTCTTTAACATGTCATGATATGACATTTGACCAAATCATATTGACTTGTATTGCATATTAACGCATTAACAGCTTCATGTGTCTCTACTAGTCACCCAGCACTTCATTTACACGGAAAACAATTACTTAGATGTTATGAATGTGACATGAATTTCACTTTATTCTAACTGGGTCATTATTTTCTTCATTTTGTAAATATGCTATTGTACCATTAGGGAAAGACTTCAAACTGTTACATAGAATTGCCACAATAATTATCTGTCAGTTATATATGAACAAAATAGCTTTAGAAAAATTATTTTTTTAGTTGATTAGTGCCTTTACATCTCTGTATTTTAATCAATGTAGAGCTGACTGACTAGAAATCCAGCCATTGCTATTGTTTTATAATGGTGTACTGATTATTATTTTATGCAGTACATTAACACATATCAACAGATTTCAGCATTTTACTATGTATATACTGCACTATGTAAAAATCCCAAATGTCATTTAGATGACAAAAACCTGAGCTTCCTGGCAAGCTGTTGGCAGAAATCTATAGATACTAAAGAGATTAAACATCTTTTAAAGTATCACACTGTGATATTTGTTTCTCAAATGCTATCTCTAATATTAAAAGCATGTAGAAATATAGAGAAAGGTAGGACATTCATGTTTAATGAGAGGAAAGGTCAAAGTTGAATGATGAGATTTTCTACACTGACTGAATACTGCAAGTGGGGAGCCCTGTTAGCTCATAAGCCAAAGGAGATAAGACAGAGGTTGGAAAGACATATTCTGTTCAGTCTATTCAGTCTTAGGCTACAATGTATCTTTGATTCTCATTCTGTCACTGAAATTATACTAATCATCAAAAGTCATAAGTAAATGAATGTGGAGAAATACAACCAGACATCTTTCTGAATTTAAACAAGTGACTATTCATCCTCACATAATATGTTACATCTGAATTTTGTCACATGCAGCTGGCTACAAAATGCTTATTTGCTAGTGGCTGTGAACACACAAGATGAGACAGCCATCATTTGCCCTTTTACGTCCTGATCCACCAGTATTTTCAGAACTGAGCAATTGGTTATTGATCTGCAGTTTACCAGATACACATAAAATCAACAAGTCCAGTATTTCTAGGTCTGGTCAAACAAGCCTATTTATCTTCCCTTAGGGTGACTGCTGTGTGCTAAGAGTCTAAGAATTTTGGAAACATGAAATGATTATTTCACTCACTTCTGTCAGTTGAACTACATGGATCTGAACGTGTAGCTTCAAATACTTCAGTCATGTCTGTTGGAGAAAGATAACTAATTTTTTCATTTCCAGTTCTTTGGAGTTACTTTACAGCTAGTAGCAACATCTATCCCCAAAATCTCTGGAGGCAAAGAGAGCATCACCCACACCATTCCCTTCAACATAGCTCTTTCAGCAGGGATAAATTTCAGATTGCGGGACTCAGCCAGATTGCTTTCATTCTGTGGAAGAGACATTTTGGAGTGCTGGTTAAGATACAGTTGGATAATGTAAGATTTTTCATGTTTTTTTTCAGATGGAATCCGGAGAATATTAAAATTAAATCTGGAACATCAGAAAGGAATAAAGAAAATTTAAAAGAGTCTTTTGGAGTTTACTCAAATACTTAAGCAGTATCATGGATAATGTCATGCTGACACACACAAAGAAACTCCTGCAGGTTCTCCGTAGGTGATTAATCCTTTAAAATTTATTCTAAGTTAGTGTGGCATCTTCTCCCCTTGTGAAAACATAACTTCTAAACATGTTATGGTATAGATATTCCTACTTCATTTTTCCTCCCTATTTATTGCAATAAATAAAATGGGAATATCTGTGTCTTGTTTTCTAAATATTGATGAATTATTATATTTTGTTCTATTTTACAAACTATCATGCTGTGCATTTACATCCTACTTCAGCTGCAATATTTCTAAGCTAAAGAAAACTTGAAATGTTCTGTCTGAGATATATTCACTTTCTGCAGTCTTTCGGGAACTTCAGCCTGTTTAGACAAATAAATAAATAATTAAATAAGCAAACAGCCAGGCTGAGATGCCAAAATATTGTTAGGCCGATAGTTGTGAGACACTGCTCTGTACACAAATAAATAAATAAATGCTTAGTTTTCATTATAGCTTTCTTTAACTATTACTACTATTCATTTTTAACATAGTTTACAGTACTGAAAATTGACTAAAATAAATTATTTCTGCATAAAAATTTTGCTAACTAAAAAGACCAACATATGCATGCAGGAAAAAAACAAAAATATTTGTCTTCTCCAATTTGCTTTTTATTGTAGAGAGGTAGCAAATCTAATTACAAGATGTTTGATTCACTGGGCAAATCCTACTGGAACATTTTCTACTCTGCAGGATATCACTTGGTACTGAAAAACTACTTGTCAACGTAATGATGTGAAGGATCACATTCTGTGATTCACACTTGAATGTTTGCTAGATGATTTTCAAGAAGACAATTCATGAAATGTTCGAAAATTCTCTTTAGGTTTCTGGTTCCTTTTTTGCTTTCATTCATAATTATTTGTTATATGTATTAATAACTAAATGAATTCCCCCATCCCATATTTTTGAGAAGATTTAATGCCCTCAAATATGAAATACACAAGGATAAAAAGAAGTTTAGGCATTTCAGTTAAGCTGATGCTCTTTGCATGTTTTGAGGTATTGCTAAACTTGTGGTTATGGCTCTGTAGTCAATTCTCCGCATAAAATGAGCAAAGCAGAAACATAATTCAATTCAAAAACGTCAAAAACACAATTCAATTCAAGGAACATTTGGATTCAAGGAATGTTTGAATTTTGTGTTGAGGGAAATGGTTCAGTGAGTACTACTGGTGATTGATGGTTAGACTGGATGATCTTGAAGGTCTTTTCCAACCTTGGTGATTCTGTGA